TGCTTGTTTTTAAGCTCTAGCTTCTCTATTGAAATAGAAGTAAATTCAACCTATAACAAAGACAGTGTTTCTGTAAACTTTTAAATAGTAATTCAAATTAGGTAAGTTTGGCAAAAGCAAAGCAGAATTATTTCACTCATTAAGCATAATTTTTAAGTTATCCTTCTAAATATTTATTAAAATAGTCTCCTTTAGGGAAAAATATTAAAATGTAAGACATTTAATTTTTTTATTGGTGTTTAATAGTCATTAAATGGAAAATACTGTTTGTCTGGCTGACCAAGTGCCTTAGAATAATCTTCCTTAAAAGACTGAACTCCGTAAATGCAGGCTTGCATTAATAAATGAGATTTCTTACTGATAAAGAAATAAGAAGCAAGTGATTAACAGTTGCAGGATGGAAGGCACAATGAACACAGACTAGGATGTAGAATTTAGCACACAAAAGACACATGCATACCTGCAAAGACTAAAATATTAGGAATTCTTTCTCTGAGAAGACAAAAGGTTGCGAAAGCTTTAGAAATATCAGTGTATCCTGATCTTAAGGTTAAAAGTTGTAGAGAGAGAAGACAGCTAGCAAGACAACGACACAATGAGCATCTACCACCTCTCTGGGCAACTTGTGCCGGTGTTTGACCACCCTTATTGTAAAAAATATCTTCCTTGTATCTCGTCTGAATCTTCCCTCTTTTAGTTTAAAACCATTACTCCTTGTGCTATTACAACAGGCCTTGCTAAAAAGTCTATCCTTGTCTTTCTTGTAAGCCGCCTTCAAGTACTGAAAGGCTGCAAGAAGGTCTCCCTGGAGCCTTCTCTTCTCTGGACTGAACAGTCCCAGCTGTCTCAGCCTGTCCTCACAGGAGAGTTTCTCCAGTCCTGATATGATTTTTGTGGCCCTCATCTGGACCTGTTCCAACACCTCCATGTCTTTCCTGAGCTGAGGGTTCCAGAGCTGGATGCAGTACTCCAGGTGGGATCTCGCCAGAGTGGAGTAGAGGGGCAGAATCACTTCTCTTGACCTGCTGGCCATGCTGCTTTTGATACAGCCCAGGATATGGTTGACTTTCCTGGCTGCAAGCACACATTGTTGGCTCATGTCCAGCTTTTCATCCATCAATATTCCCAAGTCCTCCTGGGCTGGGCTGGTCTCAATCCCTTCATGCCCCAGACTGTATTGATACTGGGGGTTGTTCTGACCCAGGTGTGGCTCTCTGCACTTGACCTGGTTGAATCTCACATGGTTCACATGGACCCACTTCTTGAGCTTGTCCAAGTCCCTCTGGATGGCATCCTGTCCCTCAGGCATGTCAACTGCACCACTCAGCTTGGTGTCATCTGCAAACTTGCTGAGGGTACACTCAGTCCCACTCTGTCATTGATAAGGATATTAAAAAGTACTGGTCCCAGTACAGACCCCTGAGAAACACTATTCATCGCCAAATCTCCATCTGGACATTGATCCATTGACCACTGCTCCCTGCATATGACCATGCAACCAATTCCTTACCCACTGAATAGTTCACCCATCAAATCCATATCTCTCCGATTTAGAGAGGAGGATGTTGTGGGGGACTGTGTCAAAGACCTTACAGAGGTCCAGATAGATGACATCTGTAGCTCTTTCCTTGTCCACTGATACAGTCAAGAAGATGAGTCCTGGTGGAGAATATAGGAAGAAAAGTCCTGGTGGAGGGTATAAGAGCATTATCTTCTACATTATCTCTTATTTCTTCTATTTTGTTGCTGCTTGTTTATATTTGGGGAGCTCTATGATACCAAACAGTTTTAAACAGTTAGGAAGCCATTGAGTATTATAAAAATCAGATTGATAATTTCTGCACTTAGCTGTCACGTTGTTATTTGGATAAATAATTTGGAGGATAGCTGTAAGGAAGGAGTTTCCTTAAATCTTTTTGTAGTATTACAAACGTTTGAGCTTTTGGCTGAATGCTAATATTGGCAAGTAGTTGTGCAAAGCTATTAAGTGTTTGGCTAATATCCAAATTTACTGCTGAGTAGGTGATTCTGGCCAGAGGAGGAGACACAGAAACTCTAAATCAGCCCTGAGCTTTCTAAGCATAATTGTCAGGATTCTTTTTCTTCTCCTTCCCCTGCCTTCCTCCTCCCCAGTCTGTATTTTGGTGACTCTTCTGGCCCCACTGTGTCTGTCCATGAAGACTGTGTAAGCAGTCAGCATGTGAGATATATTGACATAAAGTCAGAAAGTAGCTCTGTGTTCAAATACTGTTTATCAGTTGATGATAAGGAAACGGTAACACTGACCCTTATGAAAAGGGTCTTTTCCTCTTCTGGGAAAAAAACCACAAGCCCCAAAACCCAAACCCTGAAAAAACAGGAAAAGGAAGAAATCAAGTCTTTATCCTTCACTGAAAATACTTGGCTGCTGTTAGGAATATGAAGAATGATTTCTGTATGTTTAAGATGATAATTTAGACTTAGTAGTCAATGTGTTTCCTGAGTGTAGTCTGAATATTTGCTCATATTGTATTTTCTGTCATGGGAATATCTCATGAGGAAAGCTTTGCTACATTTTATTGTCTTTGGCTCTGTACCTAGTTACTGAATTTTTACTACATTTCTTAGTGTTTTACAGCATAGTGTGATTATATTTTATTTTTTTTTTCCCCAATAAAAGTGTTAAATCTGCTCTGGAATTAAGCCACACTGAATGCTGTCTAGCATCTGCTTGTTAGTGAAACCTTTAATGTGAAACTGGTGAGAACTCTATATGCTCTCTGGCTATGTGCACAATTGGTAGTGAAGTTCAAACTCTTACCTTTTTTTAATGGTTTGGAATATCTAATCTGAGACTGCTGGGCTGCTTAGGCCCAAACATTTTACAGGAGAGACATGGGATGTAACAACATATTGTGGTTTCTCTGAACTGAATGAAAGAGAAGTTTACTATTTTCATTAAAACTTATTCAGACACCACAAGGTTTTGTCTGGCAAGATCTAGTTTCCATTTTTTTTCTGAACCATGCTCAGGAAACAGGCAAAATAGACCGGAGTGTATTCTCAGACTAAATTACAATGCCTCTATGCAATTTTTTAGACTTGTTTTGAAATGATTGACAGACACAATGCAGAAAATTTTCACTTGCTTTGAACTTGGTGACACTGATTTGTTTAAATGGCTTAACAAAATTAATTGGGTTTTTGAGGGGGGGTAAGGGGTAGGTAAGAGTATGTAACCAGTGAAAACCAGAAATTACAGGGTTTTATGACGACAGTATTTCAAGGAAACTGTAATTATGTAAAATATAGAAATAATGCATTTGGAAAGTAAATTGAGTGAGACAGACCTTCCATTAGCATCATATTAGACTCCTATGTTTTAAGTCTCTATAAAAGTAGAAAGTTAAATGGCAAATAAAATGCAATGTCAGAGACTTAAGTGGTGTGGGTAATGTAAACCGGTGATGTTATTGTCTACGGAGTACAGATGATGAGATGAGGCAGAAATGTGGAAAATAAGCTGAGACTAAGTTAGAACATCTGTAAGGAAGTATTTTAGCATGAAATAGACTTTCCTGTTTGCTGGGATTTTGAAGGCTGATGAGACCGTGAGGGTGATTGGGGTGCGGCCCTCACCCCCCTCCCCGAGGATGTATGCTTAATTTTCTGAATTCTTTTATATGGTTTTGTTTGCAATGTGAAATATTAAAATCACAATTATAATGCTTAGTTTTTAAGTCATACATTAAGAAGTATTTTTTACAGTAAGAAAATATTGAGACAAGTAAATGAGCATCTGTTTTTTCTAGTACTATCAAGCTGATTTGGATTTTAAAACTCAGAATAACCTTTAGTGGGAAAATGCATGCAGTGGATCTGCGGTCTGTCCCAGACCAGACTGAATGAATCTGGGTTACTTTTTCTCTCAGAGAAGTTTTTAGGAGGATATAACCTTCATGAGTTGTATTGGAGCTTCTTTGTGCTTACTACAGCAACATCTGCAGCTTCTGAGCCTCTATCAAGAGGGCGGGTTGATCTCTTTAGTTGTGGGTCTACTGTTCTTGTCGATACAGCTCTCCCATCCTCCCCATAATATATGAGATGCTTATGTTTCCTTTTGATTCCATTTATCTTTCTCTCTACCCCTTATACTATGGTGCATAAGCGCTATGCTTCAGTTCAGCAAAACCATACTTGAAATATTGGGTGAAAACTGATTGCTTTACAGTAATAATTTTTCCCCTGTAAATTTAAAGAGCAATATAAAGTCAATTTCGTTTTCAAGATAGAATCCTCTGTATTTCACCTGCCCACTCTAAGTTCAACTAGAATGGTTCTGTGTCTCCAGGTTCTATGGGAAGATGGGAGAAGGGATCTCCTCTCTTTCTCCTTTTTCTCCAGGCAGTAGATGATGATCTGTGTGGCAATTGTTGAGGCCCTGAGGCAGATATTGCTTCTTCATTCTTCCAATTCCTGATGTGTTGAGACACACAGTAAATCTTCCTGAAGCTAGGAAGACTCTGTGTATAAGCAGTAAAGAGTAGAAAATAGGCAATGGTATGTAGAGAATATACAGGACTGCTGAATTGCTGCTTTTATACTATCTTTTGAAAATATAATACCTTGGTTTGGGTAGCTCTTAATGTCAACAACAGGTTGTTGTGTTTTTTTTTTCCTTTATATAATTGCACGTGGTCAGTCATTTAAGTCCATTTTTATATCAGTAAAGTTACATATTTGAGCCTATGGTATTTATTGCAACATAAAGTTTTTTATACTAAGTCAAAGTCAAGGTATTTTCTAGCAAGAAGGAAATGAACAGTTTTTTCTTCTGAATGAAATTAGTTTGAAAATGCTTTTTTAACCAGTCATCCTAAATACAAAATGTATAGTAAATTTTATTTTTAAAGGAATTACTCTAGGAAGTGGATTACTTTATTTTCTGATATATGCTGAATATTTGTAAACTTATTTTCCAAGATGAAAATTTACTTAATTTTATAATACCTTTTTTTCAGGTCTCTGTCTTCAGAGGAACAATAGAACAGTTTTGCCTGCTGGAAGAATGCAGTGAAACTGCCAATATTTCTAGCTGGAATTATAAATTTAATATTCAACTTTAGTGTTACTAATTTCTTACTAAATAGTACCTCAAAGTAGAAGAAAAATGTATGGAAGTGCAAGAACAATCAGCAACTTAGAAGGAAGTCCCTCCAGGTCTCCTCGTTTGCCAAGATCTCCTCGCCTGGGCCATAGGCGAACAAATAGTGGAGGAGGAGGGGGAACAGGTAAGACGTTATCAATGGAAAACATCCAGTCCCTTAATGCAGCCTATGCAACATCTGGACCAATGTATCTGAGTGACCATGAAGGTGTAGCTTCTACTACTTTCCCAAAGGGCACAATGACTCTTGGAAGGGCTACAAATCGAGCTGTGTATGGTGGTCGAGTCACAGCTATGGGAAGCAGTCCTAATATTGCTTCAGCTGGACTTTCGCACACAGATGTCCTTTCTTATACTGATCAGCATGGAGGTCTGACCACATCTTCACACCATCATCACCATCAGGTTCCTTCTATGCTGAGACAGGTTAGAGATAGCACCATGTTAGACCTGCAGGCTCAGCTTAAGGACCTACAGAGGGAGAATGATCTTCTCAGAAAAGAACTAGACATTAAGGACAGCAAACTGGGATCCTCCATGAATAGCATCAAAACTTTCTGGAGTCCTGAGCTAAAGAAAGAAAGAGTGTTGAGGAAAGAAGAAGCAGCCAGAATGTCAGTTCTTAAAGAACAAATGAGAGTTTCCCATGAAGAAAATCAGGTAGGTAAATCTGAAAGTTTCTTTCTGTTGATTTGCAGCTAAATACTTGATGTTTTGCTTATGGAACTGTATCCTGTGCTGGAACAAGTTTGACAGTTACAACAAGAATTGTATGACTCAATCTATCTGCCTCTGGCTACTAAATAGTAGGAAAGCACATTAATGAGAATCTGAATGCAGGTTGTAATTTCCTTAATGTAGCATTCTCTCATATTATAGCTGAAGAGAATGATTGTTTGTTGCTACCCATTTTCATATTTCTGAGACTTTCTCTAGTGCTTTTTTGCAGTGACAGTCTAAATATATTCAGCAACCCTTTCTGAAGAGGTGAGCTACTTCTGCAAAAGTATAAATAAACATCCAGAGGCATCTTTTTTTATGAGCTGTATAGGGATTTAGCTGCCCAGGTTTTGAAAGTTAAGAGATATGATATTAAATCCCCATATTCAACCTTCTGTAATTCTTTGTTTCAGAATGAACTTGAAGTTGTCTTTTCATCAATGTTTCAAAGACCTGTGTCTTAGAAAAAAGAGCATCTTGTAAATATGTATTTCTATACTTCAATTCAACATAAAATTATTTTCCCAAAGTTCTGAAAATATTAAAGTATTTTAGTCTGGATGAATAAAGCTATAAGGTCAAGCTTTGAGGCTGTATGCTATTTCACAAAGCTATATAAAACAGTGGCACAGAATAGATTAAAAAAATTCTCATATTGCTGTCTCCACACACTTTTTTGGCTGCTGGTCTTATTTTAAAGCTGCTCCTTTTTAGACCATCTGTTAAGTTTCCCCAGACAAAAACACAATCCTGTGTTTCTCTCACTTCCAGATTCCCAATCTAAACTTCTTTGCTGGCAGGCAGCAACAACTGAAATTTTTAATTTACTTCCAAGTTTGTGATTATTGGCGATTCTCACCAAACTTTCCACCTCTTAGGCGTGACATGTACCTGTGGAACTAACATGCCTGATACCAGTTACTTCAGTGGGAAACTGACTGGGTCCGGATCAGGAATTCAGTACAGTGAATTAATTTATTATTTTATTGTATAGCTTGTGTATCCAGACTGACAGTAGTAGTTACTGAATATTTTTTTATCGTAGGTGGACTAGGCTGCTGTCAGAACCAATACTATAAAGAACATGTTTGGCGGAGGTTCTGCTATCCAAAATCCTTATTCGTTAGACATTTTAATCTTGATAGTTGGTGTCACCTTAGTAGTGGTATAAATATTCTAATACACTCGTTTTTGATAGCCTTTCTTACAGAGATGTCATATTAATATCTTGTATTGGCATTTGGAATTGAATCTGATATTTAGTTAGTTTATCACCTGCCAAAGGAGTGATGTGTGCTTCTGGGGTGGTGTTTTTTTCCCTGGTTTTCCTAAAAGCTGTTTCCACATCTTGAGGGGACAGTAAATTAGTAACTCTGAGTCCTCCTATTCGTTAATTCATTTCACAGAATTTTATAACTTTTTATTTTTAACAAATGCTCTTATATTCTTGTAAGGCTGAACCTACAAAAGACAAAAAGGGTGTATTTTACTCTCTCTATTTAACATGAATCCTTACTCTGTAATAAAATAACATAAAGACTGGGTAGCCTAGTATTCCATCACTAATAGTGTCCAAAAATTCATAAAATAGACTTAGTATACGGTGTTATCTCCACTGACTGCTCTTTATGATCCAGCTACAGTTTCCGAGTGCTTAATAACTCTCCATGGATTTTTCTTAGTGAATTATGCCAGTTGCTTTTGGACCTATATAAAATTCTAGTGCCCCTGACCTCTTATGACAGTGGATCCCACAGCTTAACATGTCCTGTGAAGAACCACTGCTTTGCATTTGTTTTTGCACTAGACTTCTGGTGCTTTTGCTAGGATTTCCTATGGAAGAAACATAAAATAGTTGATGTCTGGTGCCAGTCTCAGTGCCACCTTTGATTTTATAGGACACACATCATATCCCTCCCCCAGCTCTTTTACAGACAGGAGAATCTTAGCATGTGTGATAGTTCCTTTTATGGAACTGTGACATTTCTTTGATTCTTCTCTGAATCTTTTTCAGATTTATTACTTTTGGTGCCCTTATCTCAAAAAAAACCCGAAACAAAACAGATCATGTTTTTCATAATGCAGGTGTAAAATGAGTTATACATTGATGTTACAGTGTTTCTCCTTTTATTCTGTATGTCTCTGCCAACAATTCCCAACACTTTTTTATTTTAACTGCTGCTAAGTACAGAGACAGTATTTTAATGGAAATATTGATCATAGCTGAAGAATCTCACCAGTGGTAATAATTGGTTTAGATCCCAGCTTATTACACATGAAGGCAGGATTATTTTCACTTGTGTATAACTTCACATTTATCTCCCTGAATTTCATCTGCCAACCTAGCCTAATTGCTAAGTTTTATAAAATCTTTTGTTGCATTTGGCTTTTGTCTTTACTGCCCTGGGTAACCTAGTATCATGAAGAAAATTAGTCATCTTACTCTTCACCCTGTTTTCTGGGTTGCTTAGAATATGTCAGAAAGCACAAATTTCAGTCACAGGTTCCAGCAAAACTCCATAGGGGCCTTCTGTTGGTTTTATGACTTGACCATGTGTTTCTGCTATTTCCTCTCTTGTAATCAAATATTTATGTATGAAAAGACCATCCCTCTTATCTAATTGCTGATTAGTTTTCTTGTAAGCATTTGGAGAAGAGCCTTTCTGAAAGAATGGCTTTGGAACTCCAAGCTGGCTGTGTCAGCTAGTTTTTCAGTTTTGCTTATACACATGGTTATTGATTCTTTCAAACAACTAGTTTCAGTTAAGATTATCAAAAAGCTATAATTTTAAAGTTAATGTTTTTGACAGGATCTAAAAAAAGTGATGCAATCTATCACATCTGTACTAAAAAGTGTTAGATCTGTCCCTGTGAGTCTGAGGGTTACTGGCTTACGAAACTTCCTTTCTTAAAAACTGAGGTGTTTCTTACAAAAACACTAAAAGCTGTTTTCAGCTTGGCTGTGCGTGGTGAAATTGCCCCTGAATGGGGCTCTTAGTCTCATAGCCAACTTTGCGAACTCCCAAGCGACTGGAGAAGGGCAAATCTAGCTGCCTGCCAAAAAGAAAAGAAAAAGGAAAAATAAACAAAAGAGAGAGAAATGAGTAAATTTTAAGTTTGATATGTTTATTGTGGTTTCTGGAAAAATATGGTAAGAACAATCAAAAAGTTTGTTGTAAACTGGATTAATTATTTGTATTTTTTAAAACATTGCTAGCTATTTCTAAAATATAAGGGGAAAATATAAAAAACACTAACACCCAATATGGATTTGTCAAGAATAATGTCAAACAAGTCTGATTTTCTTGGATGACGGAAAAACAGGCTTTATGCATAAGGGAAAAACAGTAGTAACATTAACATTAGGAAATCTTTTTATGTTGTCTCAGAAGATTTTCATTAGCAAGCTGGTTGGAAGCATGAAATGAAATAAGAGATGAAATTGCTATTGTATAGATGCCTGTTTGATTGGAAGACTGAGTCCAAGTGTAATTATTAATGATTCATGGTGAAATTGGAAAGATGTCTAGTAGGATCTGGTAGTGATCTGTCACGTGTTTGAGGCTTTCATCAGTGTTCTGAATGATGGATATGTATTATGCACCCAGATAATGTCAAGCTGGGAAGGGTTAAAAATATGCTAGAAAATAGGATTATAAATGAAAAAAAAATTTGGTGAATTGAAGAAGTAGTCTCAAAAAGTAGGACGAGCTTCAACATAAAATTGATGAAAATAAAACCTTTTGGAAGCAAAAAGAGACCCATGAAGAAATTTATGGACAGTGACTTGGACATTCCTGATTTTCTTTTGAAGATTATTTTACTTTTGAAAATATATGCTTTGAGCACCTGTTCTTTGATATTACAACCAAAAGTTAGTTGTCTTGTCTTTCTGGTCTTTTTTCTTTGCGACATATTTTCTCACAGCACAATGAGTGTTATTCTATGTATGGATTGATTATATACACAGGGACAGGAAGTACTCTAAATGCTTTTAACTATTTAAAGTGGTTCTTCATCTTGGAATCATCCATTTGCAATTTCTCAATCAGAGAGTTTGCTCCCTTTGCTCCCTTTTTTTTTTTTTTTTTCTCCAGGTAGATAGTTATTCTCTCTAATCTTGCTTTTGAATATATTATGTTGAAGAGTTAATCTAGAAGGTTTCAATGGAGAGCAGAAGGCTGTGAGGTGGAAAGAACTGAGTGGACACAAGAAAATATTCAGCAGTATTCATTTTCAGCACTGTTGCCTGCTGGTCAAAAAAAGAGGGAGAACTAGCTTATCCGTTTGGATTAGCTGGTCCTAGGACAACATATTAATCAGTTGACATGCTTCTTTTATGACATTGCCATGACTGAATTACACTTACTGTTCTGACATTTTAAAAGTAAACTGTAAACTGAGTTACTGAATTGCAGAAAATAATGCCCCTTTCCCCACTTATACATGTCATTATTTAGTACTACATAATTAATACAAAATGAACTGCAGTGTGCAATGAACAGGGGCTCTTTTTCATTCATGAGATGGTTATATGTTGTTGGAAATAAATGGTGAGTTTGATCCTTTTTTTTTTCCCCCAGAAAACCAGGTAATTTTAATTTGCTTAATGTGTTCTTTGAAAACATATTATAAATTTTGATCTTCTTTTGAAGCTTAGTTCCTGTCTTGATACTAAAGGAGTTTGCTTCTGATAAATGAGATGAAGAGAGAGGATAAAAAGGATGGTGAACAGTTCCTCTGAGAGACTTATAGTTTTGAATACAAAATTATTCCTTGAAATATTATTTTATATCTGTAGCCATGTGAATAACTCATGCTGCAATTAACAGAATAGATCCAATAAAATAATTAGTAAATAAGGGTATATGTATTCATGAAGTCACAACTGCTAGCACCTACTCAATGTTATTTCACATGCTTTTAATTTTTAGTTTGAT